GTTTGCATTGGAAGTGCAACTGCTGTTTTTAGAAAAAAACGTTGGTACCAGTATGAAAAGTGGTCTGGTTCAACAGCAACAGTTTTTTTTTTTTTTTAATTAAGAAAAATTAAAGCTTCTACAATCGGTAAGAACTCACTTTCATAGTTTGCCTTGATCAAGACATCTCTCCCCTCTTTAATAATAATCTTTCTTAAGTTAAAGCATAATGGTTCATGAAGATATACATGTAACCCCCCCCCCCATCCTCTTGGATTAAAATATTAATGGGTCTTATCTTGGTGCAGTTTCCTTCTCCAGAAGTTGGATCCCATATAATCCACAATACAACATGCTTGTAATCATTTCACAGCTTTTAAAAATGTATTTGTCTAATTTGATCAAATGATAATATTGGTTAAAAGTTGTTTTCATGTAAATGAGGTAGTAAATGTTTTACTTAAAATTTGCTGCAAAATCTTAAAATTCACTAAGTCTGCAGAAAGTTGTGTAGTTCAAGCATATCTGCTCCTCTGCTGGCCCGCTGCAGCACTAAAGCTTCAAATTTTGCCAAGCCTGGGAACCTAGGTTTTTATTAATGATAATTGACTAAACTTAACCATGTTTACATAGCTTCTGTCCCCCAAAGTGCACCAAATTGAGATATTTTGTAAGATTTTTTTAATATCAGAACTCATGCGACATGAAAAGTTACTTGGTGTTATGCACCCCTGACATGATACTGACAAAAGTCCATTGTTTTGACATTTTTGTGAGAAAGTTTTTCAACTTGGTGATGGTGTTTATCATTGATGGGAATATGTCTGTACTGAAAAAGTCAGTCTAAAATGCAAGCCTTTTTTTGTACAGACTCAGATGTGTCTGTACATATAGCCGTCACCTATGTCTTTTGTTGCCGTTGCCATCGAAATCACCATGGAAATCCGTTTTACCTTTTGGCTTGTTTTTCTTTTTAGGGGAATTGGCCCACTATCCTCATGTAAAATAAAGTAAACAACTGATGATTTATCCCAAGTCAGATGAGATACCTAAATTTTCTGTCTTGAAGACCTCAAAATGGACCCTGATCTGTACAGGTTGATCAAGTTGTGTAAAATTCCTCGTTGTCTTTCTGTAAAAGCTCCTCATAAAAAGGTTTAAAAAGGAATTTCATTTTTAAAAACTGATTGCCTGCATCACAACTAATAAAGATCTAAACACAGAGGTCTTTTGAGAGAAAACATCATCACAAGGAAAACTACAGCTGGAAGTTTCCTTCTTTAGGTACCAGTTAGTTTTTGTGTAATTTGAATTGAATAAACATTATCTGCAAATAAATATTTCATATGTAATGATTAGATATTTTAATTAGAACAGTACATACATGCAGTATCTGGCAAAACACATTTGCTTTTTGTAACCAGATGCTGATTAAATATTTACTCAAATATGGGTCCTGGTTTCTCATTTTTGTTACAGGGATGCATGTGGTCAATGAAAGCTGACAAAAACATTTGTCCTTCCAAGAAAACAAGTATTTCCTTCTAGATATGAAATATTTGGGAGAAATTGGAGATGGAGCACATTCTTCGGTGACATGCTAAAATTTAACTTGTATTTAATGGGAGTTTGGTTGAAATACATTTGAGACGGATTTAATGCCACTGTTGTTTCTCATGTTGTAGTGCTTTATCCTACCTTAAGTGTGATGATTTTGGACTAATATCAGGATATGCCAGTGAAAAAAAGGATTTTTGTACAGCACACCCCATTTGAAAATTAGTTAAATAAATTGGCACTGATGAAACTATGAGGATTTTCCTTTTGGAATTATGTCTATTTTCATTTATTTTATTGTTTGTTTAGAATTATTTGTTCATTTTATTTGTTTTATTGTTTGTTTTTATGCATATTGCCATTGCCTGTGCATGTCCTCACTGTGCACTTATCAGAGTAAACATAATAAATGTATGACCAGGTGATTTATTATCCTCAAACTTATTGGGAGTGATTCAAACATGTAGCACCAAAATACAGGCAAGTTAAGATAGCAGATTTAATGTACCACAAAAAGTGAGCAAAAAATATGCTTGGCCAAAGTTTGGAAACATTGTTATTTTGAATAATTATAAAATAATCATATGAGCTGAGGTAAATATTATAACTAAGTATTGATGAGCAATGCACTCACCATTCGTTACTTTTTGAAATTTTGCCAGGGAAAGGAATTCTGTGGGAATCATAGCAACATTTACAGTATGTATGGGGGGGGGGGGGGTCAAATTTCATTTTCACAAATCATGCAGATGGAGTGCAGCAAGGCTTGACAAAAAAAGTAAAAATTTCAGGCATACAGTACATATGTAGGATACAGTTTATAAAAGTCCAAGCCTCCATGATCTAATGTCAAGACTTGTTCAAAATTTGTTGTGGAAATGAGTAAGTCAATATAAAATTTTCCTGTCATGGATAAACCCAGGTAACACAAGTAATCACTTCATATGCATCTTATTTATGCAGTTTTAGTGAATATTTCATTTTTCCTACAAGTACATTTTTAGGAGCAACTTTGTTCTCCCACAGGCCTGAGCCCATCTGGTACCAGTTATATTTTCCGATTGCCCACATTTACAATAGTACATATTAACAAATAAATGGTGATTACGCTCTTAAACATTGTGGATTTTTTTTTTTTGTGCAACAGTACGTGATTATTTTCAGCTTTGTATGTGTGAAATTTATGCCGTCTTGTTTGAGAAATTTTCAACTTCTACTTATAATAACACAATACCATACATGATGTAAACCAAAATTTCAGTGAAATATGTCATACGGTAAATCAAACTCCCTCCTAAAAACAAATTTTTATAGTTTATATTTATTACTTTTTTGCAAAGGAAACATAAATACAATCAAAATGTACATGTGTATTCCATTAAGTATATTCCATACACTTAAACAAAGATGCAAAAAAAAAAAAAAAAAAGGTTAACTTTTACTATAAATGTACAAATCTGTACTCCATCTAAATATCTTTGGATTTTTTCCATTAAATAGTGACCTTTACTTTTATTCAAGACACATATGATATTTCACATCTGGTGTTCAATATCTGTGAATTATTTTGATATTCATATAGATCCCTTAAGGTTCAAATATTGTAAGTATTAATCTTGTTACAAATACAAAAAATTGGTCACTTGAGATTTAACAAGCTTATGACATCCTTGTAAAATTGGAACTCCTTATTTAATGGTCAGTAATAATTTAGTGAAAACATGTCTTTACCACAAAATAATTTGGCCATTACCTGAAACTTCTAAAACTAAGATTTTTTCCTTAAACAGAAATGAGAAATACTGCCTTTTGTCAAACATAATACTCTTTTAATATATTTTTGATTTACTTAAAAATAAATATGCATAAATAAAAAAAAAAAAAAACATTTAGACCTATGACCCACTTCAAAAACTGTACTGCAGCCGGAATTATAAATAGTATTATCTGGCCTCTCATCCCAAAATACCTCATTTGAAATTCATATTTTACAACAATTGTACTTACACCATTCAAAATCAAATTAAGATGCTGCAATGCAAAAATACTTTATTCAAGTCATAAAAATACAATCCATTGATAAAGCAATACATATGAAAATCAATATATTATTTTACATCTTTACAAAAGGGCAGCTGTTTATGTACACTACAATATATACACATCTGAGTGTCCACTCAGATTTGCGCCATAGGTGGCACAGCACTTCAAGACAGGTCATGAACTCATGGCATATTCCTCAAGGGCCCCACGGACACATTCTGCAGGAAAATCTTCTGGCTTCGTCAACACTGCCGTACTTGTGCTCAGCTGACGAAGTGTATGAAG